CAGTATATATTATATATAATTAAGTTATATTTTGTTCGACGGTTGCGTGAAGTTAGTACTTATATAGGTACCACGGTTATCAGCTGCTCGATATTCTACCGTGGTAGGTACCTGCCTATATATATCCATATAGGTATAATATTATCATTATACGGTGGTATCATAATAATGTGCGATGATATAATGTCATCGACTCGGACGAGTTAGAGAGACTTTATCGGGTCGATAATAGATGTAGAAAACGTTTTAACAATATGTATAATATTATACAAAAAGTAAAACGTTTACGCGTTTGCAGCAGGTACCCCCATGATGTATAATAATGACAGTAAAAAAACGGTCCGGATAAATCAATCTTATTAGTCGCTCGCACAGTATATATATCACCAACTACCGACACATTACGCTATACCACCTATACCTATATTGTATAGGTACCTATCCATATAATAATATAACCCTTCCACATATACATATACATAACTTATAACTATAAATACACACGAAAGTGTGTGTGGTGTATGTGTGCGTGTGTGTGTAGTGGGTTTTGATTTCTCTCGTGCATATCACAATAAAATATATGTGCCTCGCGTGTGTGTAACCTTTGTACAAATAATATAAACACTCCGGATGAGTAGGCATGTTCTCGGTATATTTTTATTTTATTTTATTTTGTTTTTTTTTTCTATTTTGTTTTCTTTATTGTACGATCGGACGTTCGAGGAATCATTTGTCATCTCCTCTCCTCTCCAGGGACACCGACCGCGATGTGTTTTCTACGTACCATATATACAAGTGTGAACCACTCGACCTTGCGGCCATCGACCAATATTAAGATCAATTTTTTTTTTCACCATCATTATTGTTATTAATGTAATAATTCGTATTGATCGAAACACGCGGAGGTTTGACCCCGAAACGTTACTTGTTTGAGGTCATCAACACCGAAGAATTATCGAAACCGATTTTTTATCCCCGACCGAGACTACCTATATGTAATATTATTATTCCGAGAAACACGAAACTTATGCTGACCAACAACTTTTTTCGCCACCAAAGTTCCTTATCGTGACACGTTCTACTAGCACCTTGCAGTAAGCCCATCGAAATACTAATCGCACACCCAGAGCAATATTATTATTATTTATATGAGTAATATATAAAATATATTAGGTATATTATGTTTACAAATTACAATTACACACATAATTTAAACACATTAATGTATTGACATTGTGATTAGCAGCAATGACTGCAGGTGGTATAAAAAAGATTGAATAATTATTATTATAACGAGCTAGAAAAAGCTAACTGTTTCTTATTTTATTCTATTTATAGATCAATGATATATGTATCATGTGAACAAGCCATATATTATGCTAATGTTATTATTATTTTAAAAATCATTCCAGTTTTGAGATTTTAAATTTTATCAAAAGATCTGATTAAATGATCTTTTTTAAATATAAAACATTAGTTAAAATAACGGACACGAATTAAACATTATATATACACATAGTCATTATCACGGCTAAGCGATCAAGATATAAAACTATGCGAGTACAAGCACAATAAAACAAATTACGGGATTTTCATCACACGTACGCCAATGAACGCTTGAACTACAATATTATTGACAATAAAAATTTACAATATAATATATTATTCTATAATATTGTTTAAACCCACTGAAATTATTAATGTACAGCCGAGTATAGGTACTATATCATATTATACAGAAACCGACACTCAACAGTCCTCATTCCATAAAATTTTCTATATTTTGTATTTACTGGTAAATTATGATTTATAAATCAATATTTTTACAGTTTCGGTTTGAATACATTTCGAATCTGCAAATATAGTCTCCGTGGTTAGTTATAACTACAATAATATTATCTATATTCCATATTCCATACATGTTAAGTATTTTAATACTTTTTTTGCATTATCCAATTCCCTATATATACGTTTAGAAAAAAGTATTCAAAATATATTTGAAATTCTTATCTTCTTGTTTTATAATTACAAAAAAAAAAAAAAATACAGCACAACTATTTTCGTATAATATACCTTGGAATTATAATTAATAGTAATAATAATACACTTACTAAATTGTATGCACTGTATTAAAAAAAAAAAAAGTATCCTAGACTCGCAGTTCTGAACAGCTCTTGAGATAAGCAATAATATTTAAATACAGCCTATTTAAATTAGGATTTTTAACGGGTATGAATATTGTATTATAATATTATTTACAAGTTATAGAAAACGTTTGACGACGCATTGACGCTTTACTATATTATGGTAGATTATCTTATTTCTCGAATTTTTTTTTTTTTTGTTTAAATACTAACAACCGTGTAATAATAATAAAGTAAAAGACAAACCTACTGCAGAAGACCACCACTGGCGTAGGTAGAAATTAATTCCGTTGTCGTACGCCATATCGACTGGCAGATTTATTGGACGGTACGTGCCGTTTAATTGGGCCCCGTGTAGTTTTTTTTATATATACGCGCATATAACGAGCGAGTTTTCAAGTTCTCCTGGGTTTTTTTTTTTTTTTTTTAATGTTTTTGTTTTGTTTGTTTGTTTGTTTTTTTTTCTTTAAATATCATCAGTTTTAAAATCCGAGCGCGTGGGTAGACGCCGATACAGTGACAATATTGGCAGTCAGCTTAGGTTTCATGTAGGTAGCGGAAGACGTAGTTGTAAATAGTAAATTTGTTAATAACTTATACAACATATCATATAATAGGTAATAATAAAATATATTGTACAGTGGAGACATGGTAGTATAGACTATAGAAAATCATCGTACGCCGTTTTAATGGATCGGACGAACGTTTTAAAGCAATTATTTGACGATATTTTATGTGACATAATACGATATTACGAGCGCACAATAAAAATATAATATTATAATACACAAAAATAAAATATAATAATATAGACTCACGACATGTAAACGTAATTTTAACTTTTTTAATACTGTCACGACTGCAGTGTTTTTAGCCCATAAAAGTCTCTACTAATATTTACTCTCATTGATTATATAAATTCGTCCGTGTAGTAACGTACACACACGTTTATAGTAATAATATATATGTATAATAGTATTTCGCATTATAATAATCATTGAAAACCTATAAATAATGATATTTTACTATTAGAGTTTTGAACCAGGATTTCGTTCTACACATAAGGTAATATTATGTTCTGTTTGTTATTAATATTTTTCTTTTTGATGACAAATATTCATCACCCCACTATTCTTTTACCCCTCGAAAAAAAAATATAATAATAATAAAACACCATTGAAAATCTAGAGACAAATAGGCGACACCATATAATATAAAGCCCTTGGGCGATATTAGTTTCGGTTAGATATAATATACAAGACTATACCTACACAATATTATAATATAACACTGTACGGCCGCGCGTGGGGGTGGCGGCGGAATGTCAAAAATAAAAAAAAAATCCTCTTGGCCTACAGAAGTCACAGTGTCACATTAACAGGTGCGAAGCATTGTGCCACGGTGTCTTCAACGGTTATCTTCGAAACACGTCTAATTTTATGATTTATACGACCGGCCGCTTCTGTCTTCTCGCGGGGCCCACTATAAATCACCGGGCGGCGGAGAAAATAAAATAAAAAAAACAATTTTTTTTTTTTTTTAAACCAGTATGCACAGTGCAGTATATATACAGGTATATATTTACCCAAGTCACATTGAAAATTCGGCCACTTCTACGGGGGTCATAAATTTTTAAATAAACAATAATGTCAACGACGTATATTATATGTATATATACGACGAGACGTATGTCGGACACCTTCTTCACACTTTGGCCAATAATAATTGTCTGTAAAGAGGCGTTAATGATAAACACGCGGCTCCCATAATATTATATTCTCGCGCCGTGACCTCTCCAAATCGGTTTACAATAGGTAGTACGTAGGTACATCAAAACACACCAATAAACACCACATTTATATATTTAATATAATAATACATTTTTTCTACCTTTTTTTTTTTTCATTTTCCGTCATGTCTCCGAGTGACAATAAGGCGTAGTGTGACCGATCGTTTGGCCACACCGGTGTTGATTTCAATAAATAAATAATTGCAGAAGTGTTTTTTTATTATTATTATTATTATTATTATTATTATTATTGTTTGAATTGTTCACCGGTTTCAGACCTCTAATTGTGCTCATTAATGAATTATGGTTGGGTTTACATTGCATTAGGGAAATTATGCATTCGGTTCCCGGTGGAGGAGGAGTTACACACTATATGAACAGTAAATGAGCAAAGTATAATAATAACATATAATTTCGCTCATACGCGGTAAAATATGTGTGTTCAGTATGTTTACCGTGAGTAAGTACAGTTTTCAAATGAAGTTTAAAATGTTAATTTATACGTATACATAGCTCTGATGATTGTGAAAAAAATATGCAATTCATGTGCTAATACCGGTAGGTACCTTCTATATTATAGGAACTGCCGTAAGTGATGTTTTTTGTGGGATTTAATATTTATTATTCTTATAACATATAACACCTCAATATAGTCGTGTTTTAATTAAAAATTATATTAAAATTTAAAGTACTATACTTAACCTAACGTCCTAACCTATTTGGCTACTCGAAATATCGATATACCTATAGTCTATACCATATAAGAAGTTACTTACTATTTAATACTAATTACTAGTGATTCACTATAGTAGTAACTCCAAGTATACTCCTCTTAACGTTTGATGAGTTTATATGAACGTTAACTCACTTTGACTGTTATTATAACTTAATCCTAATTTGTAGCGTTAACCTATAGGTACGATATTCATTAAATGGTAATATGATTTATTTACTGTATTATATACTCCCAATATCTGTGACCAGCCACAATATATATTATTTATACATTTATACATGTTGGTCGTTTCGTATTTATTAAATTGTGTACAAATCAAACTAATTATTACCTGGCATAGTCCTGACGGCAATAAATTGAATCATCTTTGATAAAACACGACGGTTCGTCCTCTAATACCAAATTGCACACGCAGCATCTTAAACACGACACGTGCCAAATTTTGTCAGAAACCTTCAATAAAAACCTATCCGTAATTGGATCCGAGCATCCTCGACACTGCAACGATTCAGTCTAAAACAAATAAACACAACATATTATGAGATAAAACTGCAATATCATGATAACATTTTAAAACACTAAACATATTTTATATTATTTAATATTCATAATACTGCAACTGCATTAATATTATTTAAATTGTAATCGCACAATTATTTTTAATATAGATACTATCCATTAATATTTATTAACTTAATTTTTATCCAGTTAACATGTTATTTTAACCATCACAAAGCACTATATTTTGGAAAAGTATAATATGTTTCTATCAATAAGACTCTTATTGTTTACAAACGAATCAACAGTAGGTACCTATTTTATAAATTGTAAATAAAAATAAAGTTTTTTTTTATTTTTTTTATTGAACTTAAGCCCGGCGACTAAGGCCATTAGCTCTGGGTGCGACTCGTTTGCGCACATTTACCTTTTTTACGGCACGTTTGCGCACAAAATCACAACTCGTTTGCGCACACATATTTTGGGTTTAAATTATAAAGGTACAACTCATTTGCGCACATTTCACTTTGAGCAGAACAGCACATTTCTCTTCTCACTTTAATATAGGCTTAGGATCATCTGTTTTGTACAGATTAAAAATGTGCATGTCGTGTGTGTCTGTTCTGAATAAATATATAATTATACAATTAATAAGAAGTAATAGTGGTTCTATGCGTGTTTTTAATTTTTAAAATTTTATATTTTTTTATTATTAACTAACCTTACTACATCACTCAAGGAACATTTTTTATTTGTATCACTAGATTTTAAAGTTCGAAATTCTCTTTCAAAAATATCACAAATTTCGATATCCATAGTCACTAGTCAGTAGGTAGTACCGCTTTCTGGAGAACGACTGCTTAAAAATATTATGTTTAATATAATTTTATAAATTGTTTTATAAATTTTCGATTATTTTCAATGATGATAATGATATATTGAATATTGATATGCTGATGTACTGATAATCAATTACTTAAGTTAGTCCAAATTTAAAAATATAAAATATATGTTATGCAGTGTTTATGTTGTGCGCAAACGAGTCGTCCGTTTTTAGGTTAACGACGGTATTCGTTGTGCGCAAACGAGTCATCGATATCTAGGTAAACAATTTGGATTGTGCGCAAACGAGTTGCACCGATTAGCTCTTGTAGGGGATTACGAACTATGGTACGGTAAGGTGTTGTTACGGCAGGTAAACAAACACTTGTATGTGTGGCAAGGTTTTTACTACTAAGAACTCCGGTGGTCACCCATCCGGGAGCTAGTAGCAGCGGGCGTTACTTACTCTCAGTCACATTCTTTCTTTTTAAAATGTTTTTATCTAAACAGATCAACAGGATATTTACAGGAAATTCATATTAAAATATTCAGACTTCTTCGATGATAATTTGAGATATAATAATTTGTGTTGAAATATCATTAATAAAAAAAAAAATTATAACTTACCTAGGTTAAAATGTTTAATTTATTTATAAATATATAATTATCTTTGTTATATTATAATTAATTTAGTTGATACACATATTACAATGACTATTAAGTTGTATTGCATATAACTACTGTACTGGGCCCATTATAGGCGTTTATTATCTAAAATAAAACAATAACTATTAGGTATGTTGTTCATTTTTGGAATCAGGTAGGTACTATCGGCTATTACTGTTTAATCTATTTGTATTAATCAATTATTATTATATTATACTTAGGTATATAAGTACCTAAATAGTCTGCAATACACATTTTTTATCGAAATATATTTTACCCAAATGGAAATTTATTCGTATCTATAAACTGTAGTGATTGGAGTTTAAAAAAAAAAAAAATCGAATCCCTCCAAATCGATCATGTCATACACTTGCGTAATAATTATTTTATGCACACTTATAATATCGACTGGTTATCATAATGTAATTAGATAATTCGAAATAATAAAATACAATGATATAATATTACTTCGACGTCCAAGTGCAATCGATTAAAAAATCCTATACGTACATAGGTAATAACTATACATATTATTAACTACCTACCAATATTATGATAATCGAAAAAAACGGTAGACCATAATATTATAATATAATAAGAAATATACTCGCTTGCGATGTGTTAGGTTAGCATCGGGTACTCGGATTACCGATATCGTGTGTATATTTATGGGTACACGGAATATAATAATTATATATATGCTCCCCCCCCCTGGTGTTTTTGAGTACAAATTGTGTTGTCACGCGGTATAGTTATTGGTATTGGACGTTTCGTATAATAATAATAATAATAATATGATGTATATATACCTAGATACTATATATTACTATATACGATGATGTGGTATAGGTATGTAATATATATATAAATATAGCCATGTAGGTATAATGTGGACATGTGTGTATACGTTCACGTATATAATATGGATATAGACTTATCGGCACATAAAACACGTGCTAGGCACTCGACTCGTGTAGTAAATATATATAATAATAATATGAATAGCTTTTTGAAATATATAATATACATATAGTATACGCGCGTAATTTTATTATATTATTATGCATATTATGTATATATATTAATATATAAATCGGCGGGTGGTTAAACTATTCGTAACTACCGCGCAATACATCTCGGCAACCGTATAGGTACCTACCTATATATAATATTAAAATAATAATATATGATATTATTATAATATAGCCGCACGGGTTATTTACGATTTCGCGTTTGTCCGACAATAAATCGACAGACGAGCGTCGATTATAGTAATAGTGCCTATACATACAATCCGCATGCGAGTGGTGGTCTCACAAGGTATACAATCTGTGGTATTATAGTGCGACGCATAAAACTATTAAATCATTTTGAAGCTATTATAATACGCATCCATTTATTTATCAGCCGTACGTACACACTCGGGATTTTATGTGCCGCAACACGCTTAAGGCAATCGAACTTTTCATGAAAAGTTGACCGTTTCTGGACCGAAATGAATACCTTATCTCTATTAAGCTTGGTAAAAATTAATATGAAAAAAATGGTTCATCAAGCGGACACCTTTTCAAGGGATGAATTCTTGGATTTGATTTATGTATTGTAATTATTATCATTTTTTAGACACTATGTATAATATAATTTATTATTGTTGCAATTAAATTGTTGATATAATAGAGCTGCTTTGGAAATCTTCCATAATCAGCTGTGTATAAAAACTATAGTAAATAAATCATTATTATTTTATGAGCAATTGAGCAAACAATTATTTTCACATACTTATAACGATCTCAACTGCAAAATACAATAGAACGAACCTGCAGGGTTGGCTTCTTTGAGAAATACCTACTTTATTAACTTATTTACCTAATTAATAGATTTCTATACAATTTGCATGGATTTTAATAAAAAAATTTATTTTCTATTGTATTGTTGGTGATGGATTCCTATCCTGCTTATAATTAATCATCGGTAAAATATCAAATATCAAATGTTTAGACACTCGGCAGCTATTAACGACGGTCGCCGGAAGTTAATGCTGTTCCTATATTAATTTCGAATTATGAAAATTAATTCTAATAGATTGAACTTTATCCAAGTCATTACCAAGTTATTTAGTTATATATAAGTATTATATAGGTATAATAACTTTATTAAAATTATGATCATCTCTAGCACGAGTGTTTATATATTTTATAATAAACTATATGAGTATACGGTTCATAATGTTATACATATACCTAATACTTGTCTGTGCTCGATAAAAACGAATACCTCCTGTTGCACACGGTATAACATACAATGTATACGTTACCTACATATACTGCAAGATAATTAAATCATAAAACCTAAAAAAGCCATTAGTTGTTTTATAAAAAAAAAAAAAATCTTAGAAAAATATTCAATTCTCGTTTGCATCCAAAATAATATCATGTCAAACAATATAATGTCAACTATAATAATTCAAACGTTCAGCGTGTACAGATAAATATTGAATTTTATCGGGGGATTTAAAACTACACATAATTTTAATATAATATACGTCATTCGTGTACCTACAACCATATCTATACATCGTATATTATTACTACGACCACTATATACACAATATTATTATGGTTTAGAACATCTTTGTTTTACCTACGATATAATATATACAGTTTATACATAGGTAGGTAGGTACAATATATAAGTATGCATGCGGTCGACATTTATCGCGTATACGAATGGTCAACATTATATACTCGCTATTAGACCGTGATATAATGGCTGGTATTGACTGTCGGACAGCCGAATTTTAGAGACGAGGAAAAAATCCTAATAATATACACGACGATAGTACTAGAAAGCCCTCGAGTGGTCGGGTGGGTGAGGGGTGGCGCGACGACGTCCCGTAGTCACGAGACGACTCGGAGACGTATATATAATATATATATATATATGTAATATGTATATCATATAAATATCTATATAAATAAATTCCAAATACCATATTGTTATTATATATATATATATTATTCGCCGGGACACATAATAATAATATTATTATTATTATATTCGTCCAGAGGTTTCCTCCGACGATCCGGCAGTATTAATTATTTACACGTACGATATAATATTCACGTCCTCCGTCGTATACACATAGCGGGCGGCGCTACATTTTGATCGGGCGCGGGATAACGCGGATAGTGTCCATAAAAACGAAAACAAATTGCCGCAGAGTCCGAGTGCGTGAGTATATTTAAATAATATATTATGGGTAATAATGGCTATATATAATATAGAGATAGACGGTATTATTATATAGGAACGACCTACCGTTGTATTATTTTTCCACCCGAACACCACTATTATATTGTACGATGGGTACGCGTTACACGTTACGTTAATAAGTATATTAACATTCTGTTTAGTGACTCCGAAATGTAAAACAAACGGAAAAAATAAACATAATATTATAAGACTATTACATTGGACCCCCGCGGATTCTGTATATAAAACAATATTAACACGTCACATTATACTGT